ATTTACTTTGGTTCAGCTGGAGTTGCAACACAAGTGCAGAAAAAACAAATGAAAAGTTGGCGTTCATAATTTTCCATAAAATATCAACAAAATGAAATCTATAATTTCTCAGAGCTGAAAGTAACAAAGTCTTGTTTCTTCCAACGAACACAAAGATATTCAGTTTACCATCGAATAACTATACAACATATCTACATATACATCTATAGATATCCATATCTCTAGATAGATAGATGTACAGATATAACGATGTAAAAGAGACAAGAGGAAACACGAGAAGCTGGAAACAGAAAACATTTGACAAAAGATTAATTTTCTACTGAATAATAGTAAATTTGAAGTAAAGTAGTAAGTAAAATGTACCTCAGAAGTGTATGTGATCCAGTATTTGAACAGCTGTACTTCCTAAAGAACAGCGAACACCTGTGTAGGTGTCTTCTCTCAGCTCCTCACTACACTTATTGGCTCTGGTTGTACACAAACACCAGAATAAATGAAAGGAACAGAGAAGTGAACTGACCTACTCTGTGAACATGTCTCTCTGACAACGACGGCTCTGAGTGAGTCTTTGGGAGGCGTTCAAATGCCGGAGATAACACCTGCCGATCCTGTTCCGCCTCCCTGAGTTACAACCTGCTGCACCCAGAGAGTCCACATCGCTCACCTGGTGACAAGGCCATAATGTGAATGATTCATAGCTGTTATATTATGAAAAGTAAACGCACCGCTCAACATTCTGAAATATGAGTTTAATCATAAACAAGTTCTTCATCTGGGTTTTAATTTGTTTAAAATATAAAATGGAAGAGCATCGTGCTGATTAATAAGAATTATTAAACTAATTACTTCATGATAACTTACTTTCATGGATGGATCACTCAACAGGCTCAGGGGCCCAAAGCATCACGGGCCCCCCCTCTGGACTTCACCTGCAAAATATCACTTGAAGAGACAAGAACCAACCAGGAAAAGACACACAAAACAACCACAAAGAGACGCAAAACAACCACAAAGAGACGCAAAA